TAAAGAAGAAGAAAAATGATAATAAAAAAAAAAAGGATATCTTAAAAATGTGTGACCTTTTTTATTATAATATTACAAAATAAATAAATAAAATTACCAAAATATCATACTTTAAAATATATTTAACAAATTGTTATGTTTACTATTCATATTAAGAAATTGGTCTCTGTTGAGATTTCCGTTGAAGTACTTTTGTTATAATTGAAATTTAGTTTAATTCTATCAACGGTCTCAAACACGGCAAGTATACCGGCCGTTCAAGTAGTAAAAATATCGTATCCACAGGGATTAGAAGGTAAAATAAGCATTTAATGACTATTCGTGACTAAAGAATGATTCCAAATTGTAGTTCGTCATGTATATGAATCGAAGAGCATGACTACTGGAATGAAAGCTATAAATAAATAATGGTTTGTGAGTGGAAAAGGGTAGAAATGGTAATGGTTTTGTGAGGTTGTGGGGTCAGATTTCACCAAACGTTACACTAATGAGTCCTTAATCTCTTGTTAAATTCATTGCTTAGTCAACCCAAGAGTTACTCAAACCTAATCCCTTAGAAAAAGAGCCTAGATGCGGATATTGAATATCAATCCCTTGAGTACCCAATATCTACACCCGCATTACGGGCTAGGGTTTAAGACTACTAATGGGTCAAGCTCTATCCCTAGATACAATCACCACTAGGCATATGTTTCAGAACTAGTTTCAAAGGTTATTTTCCAATACCCATGGAACCTTAAATCATGCAAAGGGTGATCAATCCAAAGCAAGCATTAAGAATAGAAACAAACACAACAAAGAATAAAACAACATGTATATATATCATTAAAACCGTAAAGATTACAATAGAGTACGTTGGTTACATCTAACCCCACAAAATGGGTGAAACCACTCAACAAAGAGGGCAAATACAAAATAGAGATGGAAGAGGAAGTGAAGAACCGAAGGAAAGATCCGCACACGGACGATCCCAAGCCCTGGGAATCCCTTCCGCAGCTCCTGGAGGCGCCCAATGTGAGAATGGAGAGAAAGATCCCCGAAAATGGCTTCAAATACGAGCCTGGGAGATCAGATTAGGGTTCCGCGCCCGGCGCACAATTCTTCGCGCCCGGCGCAAGTTCTTCCAGAGAAGTCAAGCACTCTCTGTCTCAACACAAGCCCGGCGCAATTCCTTTTGCGCCCGGCTTAATTCCTTTTGCGCCCGGCTTAATTCCTTTTGCGCCCGGCTTAATTCCTGGCAGAGATGAAATACTCTGTTTTTGTCACGCCCAGCGCAGGTTATATTGAGCCCGGCGCAGAACCTCTTCTCTGCTCCTTAGCTTCTTAGGTTTCCAATCCTAAGAGTCTTCAACTTTCCACTCTTCCTCAATACCTGCACAAAAAATGAGGTGGATTAAGGTATTGTTAGATGAATTTGGGTTAGTTATATCTGCACACAAAATGAACCAAAAAGAGAACAATTATATTGCAATGGTTCAAAGGATGAGTGGAATTTGTTCAATAAGTCTCATCCAAAAAGAGGTAAAATTGAGACTTAACAGTCTCCACCAACCAATTTCTTTTTAAAAATTTTCATATTTTTTTTATTTCTCAACTACAATTTTTTTTTCAATTTTGTCTCTTTGTAGTATTATTATTTTATATTTTCCCAAGTAATCATAATATTAGTACAGAGTATCTATCGCCAAAAGTAATAATTAATCTTTATCGAACATCATAAGCGCATAAAAAGTGCAATATTATTATTTTTTATATAATTTTTTTTTATGTAATAACTCATTCAATCAAAGATGGAGAGAAGTCAAGACTAAATCAAGATCCTAATAAATTTATTCAAAAATATTAAACATTATTTTAGTAGATGCACAAGAAAACTTTTTTTTTTATCCCTGGACATGATTCACGTAGTGTCCCAAAGTTAACAACTAAAGATTAATATATATTTATAAAGTGTAGCTTTCATTAACCAAACATTATTTTAACACAAATGGGAATTGAACTTGAGACCACCAAGTGACCTTATGCTTGAGCTCAACAAACGTTATACTTGTTTCCTGGTGCAAGAGACACTCAACTTAAGAGAGATACGACTGATTAGAAAATTCACAATCCAACTAAGATATATGAAATGTGGTGATTAGGACAAACTTCAAAAATTACATATCTTTTACTCACATTTTGTTGCTCCTTGTACATGTGTTTATTGTGATTACACGTCTTAGATATATTTAGCTTATCTGTTTGAATACATCTCTAATGTGTACAAAAGATTAATTGAAGAATTACACAATGAACAATATTGTCCCTTATTTAGACATGAAAAGAAATAAATAGGGTTGTCCAAAATGCTTGTATATACGCATAGAAATGGATATAAGGCAACATGGTTGACGAAAAAGATATTTCATATGTGTATAAAAACTCAAGTCATACAAAAAAATATGTCCTTATTATGAGAATTTTAAGCCAACAATAGTAATTTCTTTAATATTCAATTATTGTACCTTTCATTTTGTTCTCCATGTTATCTTCATTTAAAGTTAATTTTATAGAAACTTAATTTTATCAACTATGATATATTAAAAATATTTATTAAAATAAATATTTTATTTTCTTCTAAAAAAATGATCTAACACAATATTATATAATTTATTAATTATCATTAAAAGAATATCACGTTTATAATAGAAAAAAAAAATATACACTTTTAATGCATGTATGTGCATATGTAAGGAAAAATTCACTTTCATATATCAAAATAGAGAGAAAAAAAATAGTTGGAATATATAATATATTAGCAACGTATACTATAATAGTCGGAAAAAATTGAATTAATCTATTTTATTTCATGAAGTGAATTTAGGGTGATCATAATAGTTTACTACTTAACTTTAAAAATAATAAATGTTATTTATTTCTTCTCTCCTTTCTCAAATCTCATCTATGTGTTCTTATAATAAATGCTATTTCTCATGTCTCCCTCATTTTTCACTCCTCATCCATATCCGTCTAACACCATGAAAACTCCATTACAGCACCATTGTTAATTTTTACTGTTAGTTTCAACTAGTGACGGATCTAAAAATTTTAAATGGTGGAAACAATATTTATTCATATATTTATAGTATTAAAAATTTTAGATATCTTTTAAAAACATAAGTATATATCATAATTATTTTTTACAAATTTGTATATTTATGATTACAATTAAAGATGGAAATAAATTAGGTCAAACTAAATTTTATTATAATTTAGTAGGTTTGAACCTAATTTTTTTTTAAAATATATATCCTAAGCATGACTTATTTATCTATCATAGACATTTTTTAAATTTTGATTAGAACTACAATCCTAAAGACCTACTTTACAATAATTTAACACTATTAAAAATATAAAAATAAATATATTAAATTTTATAAAAATCAAGTTTAATTTAGTTATGATATAAATATGTTTTTAATATCTAATATATATTTTTAGATAATAATTTATATTAAATATATTTTATAATAACAATTCTAAATGAAACATAAATCTTTCAATTTTTTTTATTTTGATTTTTTTAATTTAGAGTTTTTTAATTAATGTATATAATTTTATTATTTTAATTTTTT